CAGATAAAATCCAGAATTGTCTTTAATCAAGAACAGTCAGATTTTTTTCAATGTGCAAATGGTGTTAGACAGGGTGAAAATATGTCATCTTTTTTATTTTCTATGTATTTAAACGATTTACACGATTTCCTGAATGCATCCAATATTGAAGGTTTAGCAACTATATCAGATATGTTTGAAAACAAACTAAATATATTTTTTAAATCATTTGCAATCTTATATGCAGATGACACTGTATTGGTTGCAAAATCTTCTGAAGAGCTACGAAAACAACTAGATAGCTTCTGTAAATATTGTAAAAAATGGAATTTAAAAATAAATATCGACAAATCGAAAATATTAATATTCAGTAAAAATAGACGTGAAGAAAACATACAGATGCAGTATGATGATAAGAAAATAGATGTAGTAACAGAATTTAACTATATAGGAGTTATATTATGTAAATCTGGCTCATTTATAACGGCAAAAAAGAAAATAGCTGAAAAGGCAACAAAAGCACTATACGAAGTATTAAAAAAAGGAAGATTACATAACCTATCAACACAGTGTCAACTAGATTTATTTGATAAAATTGTGCAACCAATTTTGTTATATGGATGTGAAGTTTGGGGATTTTCAAATAATGCAATAATAGAAAGGGTTCACCTAAAATTTTGTAAACTTCTACTCCATTTAAAAGGTTCAACCCCAGATTTTATGATATATGGCGAACTTGGCCGACACCCCATGGAAATCCAAATAAAAACGCGCATGATATCTTATTGGTCAAAATTAATCACCGGAAAGGAAACTAAAATTGCAAATTTATGTTATAAATTAGGCTTCATTATAAATCAAGAAATAGGAGGGAAAATTGTTTCGCTTGAAAATATTAGAAATATATTAAATAACTGTGGACTCTCAAATGTATGGCTTGAACAAAACCCAATTAATATTAGATGGTTAAAGGCAAAAGTTAAACTCACATTAATGGATCAATTCAAACAAAGTTGGCAATCAATCCTTCAAACCTCACCTAAAGCTTTAAATTATAGAATATAC